TTAGACTGTCATCTGATTTCTCAAAAGAAACATTTCAGTCCAGAATGGAGTGGCATGAAATATGCAAGATGATGAAAAGTAGGGCCTACAACCAAAGCTGCTTTGCGCAGTAAGGCTATTATTCAAAATCTAAGGAGAAATAGGGAGCTTCCCAGACAAGGAAAAGCTAAAGGAATTTGTTAACACCAAACCACTACAGCAACAAATGTTAAAGGGCTTGTTTTAAGTAGAAGAAGAAGAAAAAGAGAAAGAAAAAGCAAAAGAGGAAAATAGTCTAACAATAAAATGGCACTAAATACATATCTATCAATAATCACCTTAAGTGGAAATGGCTTCAATGCTTCAACCAAAATACATAGGGTAGTTGAATGGATAAGAAAACAAGACCCATAAATATACTGGCTCCAAGAGACCTCAAATAGAAAGATACACACCTCAAATAGAAAGATACACACTGACTAAAAGTAAGGGGACAGAAAAAGATATTTCATGTAAATGAAAAAAAAAAAAAAAAAAGCTGGAGTAGCAGTACTTCTCTCCAGCAAAATAGACTTTAAAACCAAGGCTATATTAAGAGACAAAGAACAACACTACATGATGTTAAAGGGAACAATCCAACAAGAGGATATAACCCTAGTAAACATTTACATAGGAGCCAACATATTTACACCTAAATATGTAAAGCAAATCTTGATGGACATAAAGGGAGAAATAGACAGAAATAGTCATAGTCGGGGCATTTTAACACCCCATTGACTTCAATGGAGGGATCTTCCAGACAGATAATCAACAAGGAGGCAGTGGTCTTAAATGACATACTAGATCAAATGGATTTAATTGCTATCTTCAGAGCATTTCACCCCAAAGCAGCAGAATATACATATTTTTCAAGTGCACATGGAATGTTTTCTAGGATAGATCATGTATTAGGACACAAAACAAATCTCAATGAATTTAAGAAGACTGAAATTATATTAAGCATCTCTGACCATAATACTATGAAACTAGAGCTCAGTTACAAGAAGGACACTGGAAAACACACAAAGACATGGAAGATAAATAATATGTTATTAAACAATGACTGGGTTGACAATGAGATCAAGGAAGAAATCAAAAGATGCCTTGAAACAATTGAAAATGAAGACACAACAATACAAAATCTGTGGGATTCTGGGCAAGCAATCTCAAGAGGGAAATTCATAGCATTATAGCTCCATCTCAAAAAAACAAGAAAAAGTTCAAATAAAAAAATCTAAGTTTACACTTAAAGGAACTTGAAAAAGAACAACAAAGCCCACAATGAGTAGAAGAAAGGAAATAATAAAGATCAGCAGAGATAAACAAAATAGAGTCTAAAAAAAAGCAATTGAAAATATCAATGAATCCAAGAGCTCATTCTTTGAAAAGATAAACAAGATTGACAAACCTTTAACCAGACTCATCAAGAAAAAAGGAGAACCCAAATAAATAAAATCAGAAATGTAAAAGAAGTAACAACTGACACAAAGAAATGCAGAGTATTGTAAGAAAATATTATGAACAATATGCCAACAAACTAGACAACCTGGATGAAATGGATAAATTCCTGGAAACATACAATCTTCTAAAACTAAATCAGAAAGAATGATAGAATCTGAATAGACAGGTTACACCTAGTGAAATTGAAGCAGTAATAAAAAGTTCCCAACAAACAAAACTATATTATAAGGCCATAGTAATCACAACAGCATGGTACTAACATAAAAACAGACACAGATCAATGGAAGAGAATAGAGAGCCAGAAATAAACCCATACCTTTATAGTCAACATTTGACAGAGGCAGCAAGCATATAAAATGGGCTAAAGATAGTTTATTCAATAAATGGTGTTAAGAAAATTGGATAGTGCAGAATAATGAAACAAGACCACTTTTTTTATGCCACACACAAGAATTAATTCAAAATGAATCAAAGACTTATATCTTAGTCTCAAAACCATAAAAACCATATGAGAAAACATAGGCAGCAAAATCTCAGACATTACTTGTAGCAATATGTTATGGGATATATCTCCCCAGGCAAAGGAAACAAAAGAAAAAAATAAACAAATGGGACTACATCAAACTAAAAAAGTTTTTGCACAGCAAAGGAAAACATTCAAATAAAAAACAACCCACAGAATGGGAAAACATATTCTCTGAAACATCTGATATGGGATAAATATATCCAATATTTATAAGGAACTTACAAAACTCAACACCAAGAAAACAACCCAATTAAAAAATGGGCAGAGGACCTGCATAACACTTCTCCAAAGAGGATATACAGATAGCCAATAGGCATATGAAATGATGCTCAACGTCACTAATCGTCAGAGAAATGCAAATTAAAACCGTAATGAGATATTTCACACCTGTCAGAATGTCTATCATCAATAAATCAACAAACAACAAGTGCTGGTGAGGATGTGGAGAAAGAGGAACATATTTGCACTGCGGGTGGGAATGCAGACTGGTGCAGCCACTGTGGAAAACAGTATGGAGTTACTTCAAAAAATTAAAAATGGATCCACCTTTTGACTCAGTGATCCTGCTTCTGGGAAAATTTCCCAAAGAACCCAAAACACTAACTTGAGAGAATATATGTACCCCATGTTCATTGCAGCACTACTTACAATCGCCAGGATATAGAAGCAGCCCTTGTCCATCAGTAGATGAGTGGGTAGAATAACTATTGGCCATTTACACAATGGTATACTACTTGGTGGTAAAAAAGAAATTTTACCCTTTGTGACAGTATGGATAGACCTGGTGTACATTATGCTAAGTGAAATAAACCAGTCAGAGAAAGACAAACACCATATGATTTCACTCATGTGGAATCCACCAAACAAACTGAACTAATAAGCAAAATAGAGAGACTCATAGATGGAGCCTGATGACAGCTAAAGGCAGGGGGAGGTCAGAGGGTGGTGGGATAAAGCAAAAAGGAAAAAGGACTAATGGACATGGACAACAGTGTGGTAATTGCCAGGAGGAGGTGGGCATAAGGGGAATAAATGGTAATGGAAAAAAATAAATAAAGAATAAATAAATCATAAAATAAATAAAATTAAAAATAAAGAAAATTTTTAAAAAACCAAACTATCCCATAATTAAAAAACAAACCAAACCAAATCCAAAACAAAAGCACTATCCAAAAGACATAAGCTGAATATTGAAATTAAGTCCACAATCTCAAAAACAATTTTCTGAACATCTTATTTTTGCCTAAGGGTCTCTCTTAGCAATTTCTAGCCAAAACACCTCTGCTCTTTTTCAAGTTATTAAAAACTTGGAATTGGTTGTGGCTATAGCAAAACTGTCCTGGCCTAGAGTCCGTTAGCCTTTGCCTTGTGCCTGGAATCCCTGTGGCAGAATGGGCCGAGATCAGACACCTGGGCTCTAGTTTCAGCTTTACGACTTCGTGGCCATATGAGATTGAGCATAATTTTTTGAGAACCAGTTTTCTTATTCATAAAACAGGATTGATGATCTATCTCCCTTTTGTCTGGTTATCAGTAAGAGCTAACGAATGTTAGTGTGTTCACAAAGCTACAATAAACTCACTAAATACATTTTTATTTTTAAAAATACTGCATAGATATGTAGGTAATGTACAGAAAAGCAAATGATAAAATGCTTTAGTCACAGCCAGTGTTTTCTCTTTGATGTACAAGCAGCCTATTTGGACTACAGGACATGGATGAAGTAGAGTCGGCCACGTTATCCAAGATGACTCATTGAAACAAGTCTGAGTTATTGTGCTTTGGCAAGTGTAGTTTGAGCAAAGGTGTTTTTCGTTTTCTTTCTGCTCACTAGTGAGTGCTGGCTTCTCTGGAATAAATTAAGTAAAGAGTTTACGGGTATTTGTGTGTGTGTGTGTGTGTGTGTCAGACTTTGGTGTTTATTTCTGCAATTCTAGAGGGGATGGGAGGAGCTACAGAGGTCTCCTACTCAGGAAAAACAGCCTCTCCCGTTTTCCCTTAAGTTCCCAGTCCTCACCAAAAAGTGAGGACTTAACTGCACCAGCTAGGGGCAGTTAAGACAGGTATCAGAAGGCCATTTGAAGCAGTGACAGCTAATACACAAAGCATTATATTATTGTTATGCTTTTCAACGGAAATGTATAGAAAATATGTAATTGAGTTATACTGAATAACACATTTGCGAAGCGTTCTTTGGTTTGGGGACATTGCATTAACACGTCAGGAGGACCTGGGGCAGCTGCACGTTGCCAGTGCTGCGTGTGTGGTGGTGGTGGTGGTGACTGAGGAAGAGGGTTTGTGGGGCTGTGCAGCTCATTACCCCTTTCCTCCAGGGAAATGCATCGACCTGCTTAGGTTCCCAGGGAAGGAGATGCTTTTTATCTCTGTTTCTACCCTGCTGTCTCGCCCTCTTGAGAAACTTGGCTTGGATCAAGTCCAGTTTAGATAACTCAGATCTGGCATGATTTTTTTTTTTTACCTTACTTTATGTGTTGTTTATGACCTCATTTTCTGCTTGGAGAGTACCTAGTTATCCCTCTTAATAAACAAAATCAATGTCTGAAAACTCACTAATAGAAAAATATTAAGAGTGGGGGAAAATTGTTTAAAAATCCAGCAAATCCTATGTCCAATTTTCAGGTTCCCTTTTGTGCCATTGGGCCTGAAATAGAACCCGCCGGAGCAGCCTTAAGGGAAAAAAGGAAGGTAGCTTCCCTCAAGCTATAGGGGCTTTGAGGAAATGTGAATTTATTTCAACCACAAGGGAGCTGGTAGTGAAAAGGACATCTTGGAACAGATAAATGCTATGAGGTGCTTTGGTAACCAGCATGCCTTGAAAACAGAACCCCAGTTCTTTAAGGGGTGCTCATATGTGTGGCACAGTGGGAAAAAGGTTCAGTTTTAAGGTCAGTCCATTACAGGATTTTCCAAAGCAACAGATCTCTGATTATAAAATGTAAATCTACAAGGAAATAAGGATTCTATATACAAAATCTGAGCTTACATACTTTACTTTTCAGGTAGTTTTTGTGGCAAGAAAGCTATGTTTTAACCACTTCTAAAAGGTTAACTACTGTAAATCCAGCACTTTCTAATAATCCTTGGGTCAAAATAACTTTAATCACAGAATTAGAAGAGTTTTAAGCTATATGATGTTCTCTGAAACAGTGGAAGGACTCCGGGACCTTCTTGCCATTTTTACAGGCTGCTGTAAATGCGCTTGATGGCATCGGCTTCTTCCTTATCAAGGATGCCCTTCTCCACATAAGCATCAGTTTGTTGGTTGATGAAGTCCCTCATCTTTGAAAGGTCATAATCTGAAAAATATCATTGTGGTATCATGAGAAAGAGCAGGAATGAGCAGCCCCATCGCAGTGACTACCATTAACCAAGAAGCGTTCTGTTTGCCACCATGACCATCCCCATCTTTCATATCGAAAGACGTTTCAGGTTTTGGCATTTATGTGGAGTTTTTCAGCTTAAAATCATGTGTATATGAATTATACTAGCTCATCTGCTCTCCAGCATCACACTTGCTAGGTGTTCAAGTGGGGACTACCACCCTCATCTGACCATGGAGGGAACAGGCTTGGAGACCAGGGCTTCACAAACTTGACCGTTTATACCAGTCACCTGGGACTCTTGGGAAGTTGCAGATTTGCATTCAGGAACTCCAAGGTGGGGCCCCACATTCTGCATTTTTTTCCCTAAATTTAATTAAATTTTTTTTTCAATTACAGTTGACATTTAATATTATGCTAGTTTCAAGTTCCAAATAGCATAGTGATTTGACATTTATATAATTTATGAAGTGATCCCTCCTGATAAATCTAGTATCCACCTGGCACCATACATAGTACAGTATTATTGACTATACTCCTGGCTCTAGAAGACAAAGCTTCCTGCTCCAGACATCCTGAGCCCAGATGCCCCCAACTCAGTGCAGCCTTGAGTGCCAAGGTGAAGGTGATGGGGCAGAACCAGGAGAAATTTCTGCACCTGGCCAAGTCAGCCAAGGGGGTAGCCCTGGACATACTTATCCACCAGGTGCTGGAGGCTCACAGTGTCTACCTGTTTGAACAACTGCTGGATATGCCTCATGTTAGACAGCTGGTGAGAGTGACCTCGCTTCCATATTCTGCCTGCTCACAGTGTTTGCTTACAGAACATAGGCTGACTGCTTAGCTGAAGCCTGGAATCTTCCCCCACTCACAGAGATTCAGAAGAATAAGCTTTGACACCTATCAGTCATCACCCTAGCTGCTAAGTCAAGTGTATCCCATATGCAATGTTGCTGAAGGCCGTTGCCCCGCATAATGTGCGGCAGCTGGAAGACCTCTTCATTGAAGCCATATATGCTTATGTGCTTCATGGCTCCCTGGGCCAGTGCAACCAGCGGTTGGAGACTGACTATAGCGTTGGGCAGGACATCCAGCACCAGGATCTCAGGGCTGTTGGCTGAACCCTACAGGAGTGGGGTGTGGGCTGTGAGGTAGTGCTGCCAAGCACTGAGGAGCAGGTAAGCAGTGCCAACCAGTACAAGGAGCAGCAGCTGGGCCTGAAGCCACAGATTGAGAGTGAGGTCACCAACCTTTAAAAAACCATTAAAGTTACTACAGCAGTAGCAGCTGCAGCCATTTATCAAGACCCTGAGCAACACCTGACTGAACTGCAGGAACCTGGCCAGCTGATAATCCTAGGTCCACGACCTTTCACCTCTCTTTTCTCCCCCACCCCCATGCATAGATCACACCTTCTCTAGGGAGGAAGCAAGTACAAGTCATGTTTTTGTTGGTACTTCCTGTTTTATGTGACTTTCTTATGTGTTCTACTGTCCCCCTCACCCTTCTACCATGCTCTTTCTCCTATATTTTAAAGAGCCAGCATTTTTCCTTGAATAGGTGGGGCTGCTGTGTGCCCAGTATAACCCACATATGTTCCTTGTCCTACCACCTGCCCCTGAACCTGCAGGGTGATCCCCAATTCCTACTCTCTCTGCATCTGCAGAGCCACAGGGCTCCACCTTTGTTCCCACCCTGAGAGTTCTGGGAGCCAGTCTGCCATTCTAGGAGTCACTGGACACTCACATCCTAGAATTCTGTCGCACTACAGTTGTTTCCTCTCCTCTCACCTCCCCTTGGTCCTAGGAATGCTGCTGCTTCAATGACCCCAGAGCCTAAGAAGGGCAGCTGTTTCCTGAGATGTTGAGAGATGGTTCTTTCTTGGCCCTGGCTACTTTGGAAAGCCTGATGGCAATCCTGGCTTCATACTCCCTCTTGTGAGTTTTGTGGGGAAGGGAAGGGGATATAGATTATATATATTTTTAAGTATATATACATATATCTATATGTAACATAACACAGAAATAAATCTATGAGGTATATCTACAAAACACAATATTATTGACTATATTCCATATGCAGTACCTTACAGCCTCATGACTATTTTGAAACTGCTAATTTGTACTTTTTAATCCCTTCACCTTTTTTACCCAGCCCCCCTAAATCCCTCCCATCTGGCAACCTTCGGCTTGTTCTTTGTATCTATGAGTTAATTTGTTTTGATTTTTTGTTTGATTTTTTTATTCCATGTATAAGTGAAATCATACAGTATTCACCTTTCACTGTCTGACTTATTTCACTTAGCATAATACCCTCCAGGTCTGTCCATGTGGTGTAAATGGTAAGACTTCTTCTTCTTCTTCTTCACTGACTGAGTAACATTTCATGGTATATATGTATATATGCACCACTTCTTCTTTATCTAATTGTCTATCAATAGACACTTAGGTTGCTTTCATATTTTGGCTTTTGTATATGAAATGTCCTTCTAGCCTTTGTTTTAAAGTCTATTTTGTCTGATATTCTGTGTAAGTACTGCTACCCCAGCTCTTTTTTAACATTTTCACTTGCATGAAGTATCTATCACGAAGTTTTCTATCCCTTTACTTTCAGTCTGTGTGTGTCTTGGAGACAGCATATATAAGGGTCTTGTTTTTTTCTCATTTAGCTACCCTATGTCTTTGGACTGGAGCATTTAATCCACTTATATTTCTAGTAATTATTGATAGGTATGCAGTAATTGTCATTTTATTCATATTTTTATCTTTTTTTCTTGTTCTTCTTAAGGAAGTCCTCACATTTCTTGAAATATTGGTTTGATGGTGAGGAACTTGTCTAATTGTTTCTTGTTGGGAATAGATTCTGCATTTTAAATAAGCTGCCAGGATGTACAGAAGCTGCTAGTCTAGGAATCACACTTGGGGTTAGAAGACCCTAAAGCTTGAGTGGTAAAAGTTACGATCACAACCAGCTGTTTGACTTTTTGAACTCATTACACTGGTTAGTCCCTGTTGAGGTGACAACCCACTTTTACATTGTTTTTTCCAAATTAAGAATTACTTTGATTTTCACACTGTTTGAATTATATTCATGGGGCAAAAAGCCAAACCATGACTTCTTTAAGGTTTCTCTGTCCTACTTAAACACACAAAAACCTGTGTAAACCATCAAACCACCTACCCCAAACAAAGGGATCCCCAAGTAAGGCTGCTTGTGGCACCTTTCTGAAGGCTTGAAAAGAAACCCACATCTTCCCTTGATTCTTTAAGCATTATGTGCCCATTGTTTTAAAAAGTAAAAGAGAGAAACATGAAAATCAAATGTAAATGACCTGAATCTTACTAATCATCAACAACCACAGTTGGTATTTTGTTCTATTTCCTTTTAGTTTTTCAAATAAATCTGTTTCAACCAGGAATTGAGATCACAGTGTGTATACAAACTTATAACTAGCTCCTTTCACCTAAATTTACACAGTGAGTATTAATATTCTTCATAAACACCATTTTTAATGGCTGCATGCAATACATCCTATGGAGGTACCAAAATGTACGACACAAATCCCTTATGGGTGGGCATGTGGGTCTTCCGTACTTGGGGAAACCCCTCCAGATAGTGAGTTTCTTGAGGCTGAGTTCCTTGAGGACAGTGCCATTCCTCTTGGTGGCAGACAGCCCCTGGACCAGAACCTGCCTCCTTTCCATTTGTAAAGGGAAAAAAGCAAGGAGAGAACGGGGTACAAAGCTCAGAGTATTCCATGGCCCCTTTAGCTAGCTTGGGTCCCTTGGACATCTTTAAAACCCTGCGTGGGAAAAAGAAAGAAACCAAACCTAAGCCTGAGGACCTCTCTACAAGCACCGGGTGTTCATCATGTCCAGGTGAGCTGAGGCTTAGCCAGAGCTTGTTTCCACCAAGGAGGGTATTTGCTCCCCACTAGAGCCCAGCCTCGAGGATTAGAGATAATGCTCGGTATTGAACACTTTGCAACCACCATCTGACCTGCTCCTCACAAAACCCCAGGAGTTTAGCATTAGTATTTCCATTTCAGAGATGAAGAAACAAGACAGAGGAGGTAAGTCACATGTGCTCAGGTCGTGGGAGAGTCAGGTTCTGAACTAGGGTCAGTCTGTAGTCACTGCTTTGACCACTCTTCCCTTAAAGGCCACTCTGTGGCCTTTAAGTAGTGAACCTGGAGCATTTAACTGGTGCAGAACAATCGTTCAGTAAGTGCTTGGGGTTTTTCGTTGTTTGACTTTCTGTCTCACTCAGGCACTGAATAGAGGACCACGCTGAACGTGCATTTTGTGTTGCCTCACAAGCTGGTCCTGGCTGACTCACTGGTTCACGCTAATACTCTTCAGACTCGGTTGCAGGGTCAACATCTTTAGTGGGACAAAGGGCAGACTCCCAAGGACAGATGTGAAGAGGTCCAGGTGATGTGAATGGACAAATGGCAAAATACTGTGCTTTCTTTTGAAGTGGAAAAACTACATCTTTATGACTTAGCTCTCACTGCATGCCAGGAAAAGCAGCCTGGTGCAGACCAAAGACCGTTAGCTGGTTATGCGACACACAGGTCAGTCTCTACCTTGCTCATTTTAAAAAAGGTTTTAAGGTGGTGAGGCACAAAAGAAATAAGAAATAAGTGCTGTGATTTACTTTCTTTAAAGTACACTTTAAAAAAATGGCAGCATAAGATGATTTTTATCATCATCCTCATTATCACATCACATGGACCTTTCTTTCCTGCATTTGGAAAGGAGATTCATGTCCCCCAGGCCCCTGTCAAACAAAGGGCATCAGCAGACATCAAGGAAGTCAGAACTGATAGGAAGTCAGTCAGTCTTTGCATTCACACAGCCACAGCCACTGCATGACTCCACAGGCTTTGAGAGATGACCCAAGTCTAGCCGAGCACATATGATGGCAGTGGAGAAAAAGCTCTCTGATTCTGCCTTCAGGAGGGTGTATGATGTTCGTCACCCTTGCTCCCTAGAGGCAGAAGGAAACATCCAACTCAACTCTGTCATTCTAAGTCTGCTCGCAGAGCCTTCGCAATGCAAGCACCAGAGTTCTGTGCATTTGGAGGTTGGTTGTTTCTTGAAGTGAAAGACTGAACTGCAGGATGTTCCTCCTTATGACCAGGAGTTTGACTCATACGTTAATCAGTGACAGAAATAACATAAATAGTCCAAATTGTTGGACCATGTTATTTATACTCGTTTCAGAATGCATTCTGGCCCCTACTATTACACTGATTCTAAGATGAACATTTAAAAAAATTTTCAAGTCTTCGCAGTCAGTCACTGATGGCATGTTATATACTTTTTCTTCCTTAGTGGTGCATTAAACAATGTGCATTTTCTGATCAATGGCAGATTTGATGAACTACAGTTCACGTGAATTTTAACAGAATGAACAGCCTGTAAATCCACAATTATGTTGAGCCAAATAAAATGAATAGGTGTGAAGATCTGATAATTGTTTCCATTTTGCTCAACTTACAAGCCCCCAAGCTAAATGGGGCTGAAAATACCTCTTCCTCCCACTGTGCTCCATCTATCTCGGTGGTTCTGAAACTTGGATGCATGGTGAAAAGATGGGGGGTTCAAAAAATATTGATGCCTGGGTCCTGTCCTCAAGTTTCTGATTTACTGATGCCCCCTGGGCAGCAGGATATATAGAAGCTACGCATGTGGTTTGAATGCACTTTAAGGGTTGAGAAGTACTGTTCATTTCACTTTAAAAGCATCACTTTGCAACTGCTCTGGTCAGACACCTAGGAATCATACTGGACTGTCTCTCCACATAGCTCTTGAGTTTTTTCCTTCTTTATTTCCTCGGCCTTGCCCTGGTTTAAACCCCATCAGCTCTGCTCTAGATTCTTGCCTCCTATTTCTCTCCAGCCTTCTGGGGTCTTATTTTTTCAATCTGTAACCATATTACATGTCAGATAGATTTCTCAGTTCTTAACTAGGTTTTCAGAGCTTAAATAAACCCTAATTTAGGCTCCTCTGGCTAAAACAAACCTCCTTTGCAGGGTGTATAAGCCTGTTCCTGACCCCTGCCCCCCTGCCCCACCTTCCCAGCCCTGTCTGTGGTCCCCACCACAGACACCCAATGGTCCTGGGAAACTGAATAGCTCCAATACTCAAAATGTATCACTCTCTTTTGTCCCTTTGTGTTTTGGTAACCAGTGCTCCCTTTGCCTCCATCTCTCCTCACTTACCTCTCCAGTGAAGGCTTTTGCCCAGCCCTTTCTCCCAGTGATCTCTGTCCCGGTAAGACATACCCCCTCCTCTCATCGCCCTTGCACCACCACACCTGTCTGTGCCAGCTCCAAGCAGGGCCAACCATGCTTTACTGATGCTGTGAGCGCCTTGTGGGGAGGGTGTGCTGCATTTTGCTGTGCTTCACATTTCTGGCACTCAGAACAGAGCCCGCTTAGTGCTGTGTTTTAAGTGAGTGAGTGACTGCTTTCCTGACTGCCGAATGAACCTCATATGTGCTCAGAAAATGCCTCTGTTTATAATACTCCAAGAAAGGGGAGCGGGGGAGTAAACAAAACAAGACTGGCAAAATGTTGATAATTATTGACAGTGGGTGATGGATGCATGGGGATTCATTATACTATTCTGCCTACTTTTGTTTGACATTTTTTCATCATAAAGTGTCAAAAAAAAGGGGAAAATGCCTTTGTTTGAAAGCCTGGCTTGAAAAATAAGAGAAACATAGGTTCTCTTCTACATCTGAGAAGTGCTAGAATCTTTCTGGAATCTGAGAGGAGACTTTAACCTAATTTGATTGTGGGAATATTTATTTAACAAGAGCCCCTGACAAATGGGTGAAATTTGCAATTTATAACCATACTCAAGCCTTACCTTCTTTATTTCCTTTTTTGTTGTGTTTCTTCAACCATTCGATATTTTTTCTGATGGCTTCCAAATAGGCTTCTGTTTTCCCTGGAAAAGGCAAGAGACCCATATCAAACACTCATAAAATATGACTGCATCTCTTTTTAAAGACTACACTTATGTTTAAAGCCATAGACAAAATATTGGCATTATCGAGCATGTGTGAGGTGGTATCCCTAATGAGGTAGTGTGCATATTTGTGTGTGTGGGAGGGGGAAGGGGTGTCAAGGAGAGTGGGTGGGGATAAGATTCTAGGAGGCAGGACCAAGCTGGTAAGTGTCAAGGATGCACTATTCCCCTACACAAATAAGTACAATGTGATATCCTGGCAGAGAAGTGTTTGTAGGTTTTTTTTAAAGAATTTATTTATTTATTTTAGAGAGATGGGGAAGAGAGGGAGAAAGAGAGGGAGTGAAACATCAATGCATGGTTGCCTCTAGCACACCCCATACTAGGGAATATGGCCTACAACCCAGGTATGTGCCCTGAATGGGAATCAAACCAGCAATGCTTTGGTTCACAGGCCTGTGCTCAGTCTACTGAGCTACACCAGCCAGGGCCGAAGTGTTTGTATTTAATTCACTTGATAGATGGCTCCTTATAATTCATGGAGTGGGTCACTTATGGTTAGGGATAGTTCTTCCAAACTGAGGAGAATTGTCAGGTCAAGACCTGAATCAGAGTGGCAGATACTATTCATCACTGAGTAAGTGATGATAAAAGTAAGTCCAAATTTGCGGCTTTGTGTAAGCTGTTATGCAAGTCTTCAGCTCACTTCTGGTAGGGAGTGTGTAAAAACTCAGATAAAGAGGCGACCCAAACCTCATTTCAAGTTTTGGATGGTGAACGTTACAAGTCATTCTAGTAAAGCTTCCCTGGACTTAAGCCGTTTTCTGATGGGCCTCAGCTGTGGTGGGAGAATAGCAGGCATCACTGAACTACCTGCTGTATGATGGCCTTTGCGTGCCTTATTACTTGCAAATCAGTATTATCTTCAACATAGAGATGAGGAAGCTAAGGCGCAGAGAGACTAAGTGACTTGGCTGAGGCCACACAGGAAATAACAGAGCTGGAATTGGGCCTCTGATCTTGCCAAGTTTTGGCTACATGCACCATTCTGAAAGACTCTACCTGTATTTAGACATGAACACTGATGTATCCTTGTTCCATCTCAAAGAAATCAACCATCCCCTTAACCAAGTGAGGTCCCTAATGCTCAGAGTGTCTGTGAGACACCAGAGAGTCTAAAGAGTACTGAATAGCCTAAGAAAAGAGGCTTTCAAAGTGTAGGGCCTCTGCAAAAGTAATGTAATGTCAAGGCTTAGTGTGGCGGCCACCTATTCTGAGCCCCCTTTGAGCCCTCTTACCTCTAGTCTACTGTCCAGACTTCATGGTTGAACTACCTGTACCATATGCTTTTAATGTGCCAGGAGCTGTTTATTGTGCTTCAAAATGCATTATCTCTTTCACTCTTCACATCAACCTTTTAAGGCATTACTATATTATCCCCATTTTAAAGACAAAGAAACTAAGACATAGACAGGTAAAAAGTAATATGCCGAAGATCACATGGCTAGTAAGTAGTAGATCCAGGTTTGAACATGGGCACATCTGACTATACAGGCCATGAACAATAACACTGCCTTAAGCTCTGACAATATTCTGAGGGTCCAATATGGCAGCACAGTAGGTGGAAGTTATACTCATTTCCTCTCAGGACCAAACTAGAATTACAACTAAAATACAGAGCAAGCAACCTGAATAACCATCTGAACATTTGCTGACAGAAGTTTTACAACCAAGGATTTAGAGAAGAAGCCACATCAATATTGGTAGGAAGGATGGAGTCTCAAAAAGGGCGGGCCCTGCCCACACAGATAGTGGCTGAGATCCTGGAGGGATATCTCAGCTGCAAGGTGCCCCCTGAGAAGTGTGAAGTCTCAACTCAAGCCAAGCTCCCCAGCCCAGAGCACCAGGCACCCACATAACATCTGGCTGTGAAAATCATAGGGGATTCTGTCTGCCAGGGAGAGACAAGAGTCTGCTAGAGACACAGGTGGCTTCTTAAAGGGATAATGCACAAAATCTCATTCTCAGTCACTCTCCCTCTGGGCTCTGGCAAAGAGTGGGTGGAGTAGACTAGAGTTGTGTGAGAGAGACTGGGGTTTGTGGCTTGGAAAGAGGGCAGAAGAAACAGCCGCCAGGATCCCTGTGCTGAGTCTCTCTCCCACACCACAGATGCCATCTTTCTTGGGGGGAGCACTCTCTTCTTTACAACTTCAGCCTGGGGGAATGCATTAGCTTTACCCTCCTGATTCCTGGTGGCTCTGCAGAATCTGAGACAAATAGTTGTGTGGCTCTGGGACAGGGGCCACTCTCCCCACCTTCCCCTAAGCCTGAATGGCACCTCCCCCTCACAGGAGATCCGTTAGCCCCACACTCCTGACTCCCTGTGGCCCCATCTGGCTGAGATTAGGCTCCTGGAAGAATCTGGGGCAGGCTGAGTTGTGTGGCTGTAGGACAGGGCCATTGTTCCCTTGCACATATGACCAATGTGGATCTTCCACTCACATAGCCAATTATTGGTCTGTCTGGGCCTGGTAAACTCTGCTGGCCCCACCCTGATGACTCCCTGAGACCATGCTCCAGCAGAGAGGTGTGCAAGCACCCCATGGGTGGCAGCTAGACTCAGTACACCTTAGGACATTTGCTGAGTGACCTGAGACCCAACACTGACACTGAGCTTGAATATATATCAGTCTGATAAATACCACTCACCCCTACCCTGTGACTCACTGAGAATGTACCTTATACAATTTGAGTATGGCCAGAGTCTTCTTCAGTGACTGAGCCTAAAAGGCAGCTGGAAAGTGGAGGAAGGCAGAGGTAGATCTTGGGGTGCCTTGGGACTTTTGCTGACTTGTCCCTGGGCCTGGTGCTGATAAAAGCTGGTCTTGGTGTGCAGCTTGGTCCTTTGCATACACACCCAGGTCCATTGGGGGCAGCCACAAACTGTGGATCACTCTATAGCTCCAAACAGGTTGCCCAGGACCAGTTACAAGCAGCATGTGACATTGACTGCACCAGAGTCCCTCCCAAGAGGCCCCAGAACCAACACACCCAATGGCCAGCTTCAGACAACAGAGCAGGATCTAATTCGCTTTACCAGCAACAAATCCAAAGGGAGACCTTCAGGGCCACCAAACCCTGCTGAGGTGAATTCTAGTTTGTGCAGTCAGTACCTGCACAGCAAGCAGCTTGTACACAGTGGTCAAGGTTGATCCTCATTGTCAGCCAGTCTGAGGGTGGACCCCATGCATGAATTGACCAATAGCAATCAAGAGTCAATTACAACAGGAAGGCTCATGTAACCCAAACAAGGGACATTCTGGAGCTCCCAGCTCAGGTGATCAAGGAGACTGTGCCACTGGGTCCCACAGGACACCTAGTAGTACATAAGCCCACTCTGCCGAGACTGTAACAGATAGCAGATCCACCTAATATACAGAAACAAACACAAAGGGGCAGCCAAAATGGGAAGACAAAAAAAAAAAAAAAGAAGCCTCAAATGAAAGAAGAGGAGAAATCTCCAGAGAAAAGAGCTAAATGAAATGGAATTGTAAGAAAATATTATGAATGACTTATATGCCAACAAACTGGACAATCTAGATGAAATGGATAAATTCCTAGAAACATATAATCTTCTAAAACCAACTCAGGAAGAATTAGAGAATCTGAACAGACAGTTTACACCTAATGAAACTGAAGCAGGGAAGGGGGAAAAAAACACCTCATAACAAACAACAGTCCTGGACTGGATGGCTTCCCAGGTGAATTTTACCCAATAGTCAAAGAAGTTACACCTATCCTTCTGAAACTGCTCCAAAAAATTCAAGAGGAGGGAAGACTCCCAAGCTTATTTTACAAAGCCATAATTGTCCTATTTTCAAAACCAGATAAAGGCACCAAAAAGAAAGGAAATTTGTGCTAATATTCCTGATGGACATAGATGCTAAAATCCTCAACATGATATTAGCAAACTAGATCCAGCAATGCATTAAAAAGATCTTACACCTTGATCAAGTGGGATTTATCCCAGGGATGCAAGGTTGGTACAATATCCGCAAATCAATAAATATGATACACCACTTAAACAAAATGAAAGATAAAAACCACACAATTATATCAGTAGACACAGAAAAAGGCATATGATAAAATCTAGCACCCATTTATGATAAAAACTCTCAGCAAAATGGGCATAGAGGTAGTAGAGGTAATATACCTAAACATAATAAAGGCCACTTATGACAAACCCACTGCCAGCATCATACTCAATGGGAAAGACTACAGGCATTCTCCTTAAGATCAGAGATCTCTATTTCTTGCCTGCTGATGTACTCCCATGCCTTGAATAAAGCTTGAGCCATAGTAGGCTCTCAGTAAATATTAGTGTAATGATATAAAAGCTTTTTACACAGTAGCCAAATTATAATCAGAAAATTGCTTGGTGAGCATGGAATCAAAACTAGAGAAAATACAATTTTTGAGGTAGAAATGGTTAGATTACTTTTCTTTCTTTTTTTTTAAATAAACTATTTGAAAGCCTTGAAATTTAATGAATTCTGAATTTAAATGATGGCTATATCAGAGATATATTTAAGTACCTACAAATGTGCTAGATATACTATATCCATATGTCACTTAATCTTCACAGAGCCTTATTAAATAAGTATTATTGTCCCCTTTTTACTCACGAGGAAACCGAGGCTTGCAGTTAAGTGACATGCTTACGGGGACATGGCTGAGTAACAGTCAGAAACCCGTCTGGGACCAGAACAAGCCTCTAATGAGTGGAGCTGGGTAAAATCTACCTTTTAGACCAATAAGGCAGTGGTTCTTGGATGTGGGTGCATATTAGAATCATCTTTTTAGGATTCACCCTTTCATTTAAAAATAAGTAAAACTTCCAATGCCCAGGTCATTCCTTCCCTGTATCAATTAAGTCAGAACATCTGGGGGGTATGGACCAAGCACCATTGTTTTTTTTA